TCGCGCACCGCGACGACGACGACGACGACGACGACGCGCGCGTCGACGTCCGACGCGCGCGCGGACGGCGCGCGGCGGGGACCGACGCGGCGTGGGACGGCGCGCGGCCGCGCGTCGCCGCGCGCATCCACCGCGCCGCGCGCCGCGGAGGACGCGCGCGCGGGAGGAACCCCCCCTCGACGCCTCCCGAGCGCGCTGCGCTGTCGGATTGTGACGTGGCATCGCATCGGAGTGGCTCGAACCCGACGTCGCGTCGTCGTCGACGCGAGCGCCGCGCACACCCTCGCGCGCGCGCGATGACGACCGCGAGCATCGCGCGCGCGGCGCTCGCGCCGCCGCGCCTCCCGCGGCGACGCGCTCCCGCGCGCGTCGCCGCCCTCTCGCGCGCGGCCGACGCGTCGTCGTCGTCGTCGTCGTCGTCGTCGCGGCGTCCGAGTCGACGACGCGCGCTCGCGATGTCCCTCGCGGCCGCCGTCCTCGCGCCCTCCTCCGCGCCGCTCCCCGCGACGGCCGCCGCGCCCGCAGCCGCCGCCGCCTCGTCCTCCTCCGAGAACCTCGCGCGCGCGTTCGCCGACGCGATGGCGCTCGCGGGCGACTACGACGCCGCGGACGCGGCGTGGACGCGCGCGATCGAAATCGACCCGACCAACGCCGCCGCGTGGGGCAACCGCGGGACGTCGCGCCTTCAGGCTGGGCGGTGGGCGGACGCCAGGGACGACCTCGAGAAAGCCGTGGGCCTGTCCCCGGACGCGAACGCGCCGGACGCGCTGACGCTGAACAACTTGGGGAACGCGGAGGGCGCGTGCGGCCGATGGGACGTCGCGGCGGCATATTTTTTGGAGGCGTCCAAGTCTCGCGACCTCCGCGACATCGCGCTCGCGAACTTCGCGCTCGCGAAGTTCCAGGTCGGCGACGTCGACGCCGCGCTGCGCGCGACGCGGTCGCTGCTCAGGAGAGATCCGGAGTTCTGGGACGCGCGCGCGGCGACCGCGGCGTTTCTGTGGGCGCGCGGCGACGAGGAGGACGCGGAGGCGGAGTGGACGAAGGCGCGTCCCGGTCACACCGGTTCCCATGCGACCGCGTTCGCGTTGTGAACTTCATTCCTTAAGGACTTTCTCTCCCGGCGTTCGTCTCTCTCCGCCCAGGGTCCCTCGGTTTCAATCCCGACACACCTCGACGCCTTTCAACTCCGCTTCTGACGCCTTTCAACTCCACCCCGCCGTCGCGAAAACGCACTTCGCACGAACGACCCTCAGCTGTGTCGCTCCGGGCGAGGGTTCGGCGGCGCGAGCAGCGCGGAGGACGCGCGGAAGGACGGGGAGCTCGCGTACGGCGTGAAGCTGTTCGAGCAGCAGCTCGCGCAGCAGGCCGCGGTGGTGGCCGGGAGAGTGGGGATCGACGGGAACGCGATCCCGGGATCGACCGTCGTCGGCGCGGGGGAGACGGGTGCGTTCACACTAGTCCCCATACGACCCCGTTTGCGTTGTGAACGCCGATCGTAGAAGACCACACGCCGGTCCCCGTACAAATCGCGTTCGCGCGGTGCACGCCGTTCCTTGCAAGGGACTTTTGGGTCCCGCGCGCGCGTGTTTCTCTCCGCCCAGGGTCCCTCGCTTTCAATCCTCGACCCTATGACGCCTTTCAACTCCATATCTGACGCCTTTCAACTCCGCCCCTCCTCGCCAGACGACACGCCATGCGCGTTGTACGCGGACGTGCGGACGGTCGCGGGGCGTTGGCCGCCGCGGTGCACCGCCGCGCTGGACGCGTTCTTGAGGGTGAGCAGGACGGGGGATGCGCTGGGGTACGACGGCGTCGTGACGCGGTACGCGTTCGAGTAATAAGTAGCGCGCGGGCAGGCGCGGCTTCGGCGTTTTATTATATTTTTTTGGCGCCGACTGATGAAACGCATTTTGTCTCGTCGCTGGCGCCGGTCGCGCCGTTCACGCCGTTCACGCCGCGCCTCTTCGTCTCTTCGTCTTCGCGCTCGCCGGGGCGTCCGTCTCCTCGCGCCGTTCTCGTCGAGACGTCCGCGCGCGCGGGAGCAAAAAGAACAGTGCCTGATAAGGGGCTCGAACCCTTGACCACAAGATTAAGAGTCTTGCGCTCTGCCGACTGAGCTAATCAGGCGGCACTGAGCGAACCGGGGCTGCCGGTCCGAATGGTCGTTTAATGCGTTGAGCTACCCACTGACCGCGTGTTAACGCGGAGGCGAGCATCAGATACCCGGTTTTGCGAAAGCTAGCTATATGAGAGTACATTTTACTACGCGCTCCCCCGACCGTTTCATGCTCGTCCGTCGCTGCGGTTTGAACTCGTCGTTTGATGATTTTGGTTCAACAACGCAACGTCCGATCCGACGCGACGACGCGCCAGAAGACGCGACGCGAACGCGCCCGGGTCAGGCGTCGCTCGCGTCGGCACGTCGGACGCCGCGGACGCGCGCGCGCGATTCCCCGGAAGACGCGACGCGCGCGCCGCCGCGGGCGACGAAACCGTCGTCGTCGTCCGTCGTCGTCGTCGTCGCGTCGTCGTCCTCGATCGAGTTTTATTATTTAGGATGTCGTCGTCGTTCCGCCCGAGGGTTGACCCGACGACGTGGGGGACGGAGCACCGGCGCCGCGCGGACGACGACTTGACGCGGCGGCGCGAGCGCGAGCGCGTGCGCGCGACGCTCGACGCCGCGGACGCGGCGGCGGCGGAGTCGCTGCGCCGCGCGAGGCACGACGCCGCGGCGACGACGCGCGTCGAGCGCGAGGCGTCGCGCGACGCGAGGAACGCGCGTCGACGCGCGCCTCCGCTCCCCGGGGAGGAATACGTCCACCTGCCGCAGCACGGGAGGAACCCGTCGCTGGCCGCGCGCGCGACGAACGGCGCGCTCGCGCGTCGCGTCGCGCAGGCCGAGGCGGCGGTGGCCGCCGCGGAGGCGGCCGCGAGCTTGCTGTGGAAGGGGGGCGGCGAGCGCGGCGCCGGAGGCGGCAATAAAGGGGCGGACGATCGACGCGTCGCGCGTCGTCAACGAGACGACCGCCAACTCGCGCCGCCGACGCACCGCGCGGCGTCGCCGAAGGTTGTCGTGCACCGCGACCCGGACGCCGCGAGGTTCGCGACGACGACGACGCGCCGCCCGCGGACGCCGTCGCCGCCGAGGTACGGCGCGTACCGAACGACGAGAGACGGGTACGCGGCTTCGCGTCGCGAAGCCGTCGTTTGCGGCGGCGGCGGGTACTCGTCCCACGACGACGACGACGACGACGACGACGGGCGTCGGAACCTGAGACCCGCGGTCCGCGGCGGCTACGGCGCCGCGCCGCCGAACGCGAACGTCGCGCTCGCGCGGCTGCGCGAGGGAAGGCGCGCGGCGACGACGACCGGCGCCGGCATCCGCGCGCGGCGTTTGGATTCGAATCCAAACGCGTCCCCCCGCCGCGCGACGGTTCGTCGCGCCGACGTCCGCGACGGCGGGGACTACCGCCTCGACGGCAAGACGCGCATCGAGATCGCGCACCTCAGAGAGGACCTTCGCGTCGCGGAGTGGGACGACGCGGAGCGGCTCGAGCGCGATATGCGCGACGCGGCAGCGGCGCGGGATAATCTGACGCGGTACGGCGAGGAGGCGCCCGGGCGCCTGACGTCGAGGACGCGAGGCACGCTCGCGGCGTTGAAGGCGCGGCGCGGCGGCGGCGGCGGCAGCAGCAACGGCGGGTCGCGCGCGGGGAGCGTGTACTCGAGCTACGACGGCGGCGAGGACCTCTCCGACGACGTCGCGGAGTACTTCAACCGCGACGCCGACCCGGCCCGCGGCGCGACGTCGCGGCAGCCGCGGTTCGACGCGAAGAAGCCCGCGTGGAACGACGAGCCTTTCGCGGAGGACGCGCGCGCGCCGGCGTGGGGGGACGTGAACGGGTACGGGAACGACGGCGACGAGGAGGACGAGCCCGCGCCGCCGTTTCCGCCGGCGCGTCAGCGCCCGCGACCGAAGATGCAACCTTCCTCAAAGATGCGGCGCGATAAGCCGGGGTGGAACGCCGACGCGGCGGACTCGAGAGGCGGGTTCGACGAAGACGCGCCGATCCGACGAAGAGAGACGCAGACGCGTCGCGCCGCCTCGCCGCCGCCGCCGCCTCCCGCCGCCGCGGCGCGTCCGGTCGCGAGCTTCGACGACGTGCCCGCGGTGGCGGGCGGCGGGAGTAACGGCGACGCCCCGTTCAACTTTTCGCGGATGTCCGTCCCCGACGGCGCCGACGCCGGGCCGACGAAGCTGACGCCGTGCGCGACGTGCGGGCGCAAGTTCGCCGCGAGAGCGCTGGAGATTCATACTAGGTCGTGCGGGAAATCGGCGACGCGGAAGAAGTTCGACGCCTCCAAGGCGCGCGCCGCGGGGACGGAGGTGGAAAAGTTTCAAGGAGAAGCCGCGCGCGCGGGGCGAGGGCCGAGGGGTGGCGTCGCGAGCAAGAGCCAGCCGCGAAACTACCTGAAGACGGCGGCGAAGGCGGCGATGGGAGGAGCGACAGGGGGAACCCAGAGGCGCGCGACCGGCGGCGCGGCGCTGGACATCTCCCCGCCGAAGCCCGGGAAGCCGGTGCCGAAGTGGAAGAAGCAGAGCGAGATGCTCCGAGCCGGGCTGAGCGGGGCGAGCGGGAAGGGCGGCGGCGGCGGCGGCGCGATGACCGAGTATTCCGCGGGCGACGACCTCGAGCAGTGCCCGCATTGCCTGCGGAAGTTCAACGAGACCGCCGCGGCGAGGCACATCCCGCAGTGTCGGAACATCCAGGCGAAGCCGACGCGGTTGCAGAAAGGGGGCGGACGCGGGGCGCATCACAGGGGGGACGAGAACAAAGCCCCGAAGAAGTACGGGAGGTGGTGAGTAGAACATGTAATTTACAGTATGGATTCAAAGAGTTGAGAATCTAGTAACAGTCTACTGTATGATACGTCGACGCCGATGTGTCATGATATCTCTCGCGTTATATTTAAAGAATCGTATGAGTGAATCAAAGGATGCGTCGCGGTTTCGCACGCGCGTCGTTCACGGGGCTTTAATACCCGCCGTACGATCCCCCGCCGCCGTACCCCGAATTTCCGCCGCCGTTCGCATATCCGCCCGTTCCCCCTCCTCCATATCCGCCCCCAGAATATCCTCCTCCGCCGCCGTAGCTGGACCCGCCGCCGCGGAAGCCACCGCCGCCGCCGCCGCGGAAGCCGCCGCCGCCGCCTCTTCCGCGCCCGCCGCCGCCGCCGCCGCCGCCGCGGGTCGCCATCTCCTGAATCTCCGGCGACACCGTCTGCCCGGCGTCGCGCAAGATCGGAATCAGCTTCCTCGCCATGTTCCCCTCACCGGGTTCGATGAACGAGTGCGCGTGCCCTTTGTTCCCCGCGCGGCCGGTTCGCCCGATCCGATGGACGTAATCCTCGATCTGGTTCGGAAAGTCAAAGTTCACGACGAGGTTCACCTCCTTGATGTCGAGCCCGCGCGCGGCGACGTCCGTGGCCACGAGCACGGGGACCCGCCCGCTCTTGAACTGGTTGATGATGTAATCGCGCTCGCGCTGCTCCTTATCGCCGTGGATCACCGCGCCCATCCCGCCCATGCTGCGTCCGATCTGATCGCACATGCGTTTCGTGCTGCAAAACACGATCGCCTTGAGCGGCTGCGCGGGAGGGTTCCGAAGCACTTCCATCAGTCTCTGCTGCTTCTGGAACCCGCCGCATACTTCGATCACCTGCGAGATGTCCTTGTTCGCCACGAGCGAGTCCGTGTCGCCGATGTTGACCTGGATCGGGTTCGTGAGGATCGCCGTCGCGACGCGCACCACAGCCTTGGGCCAGGTGGCGGTGAAGAAGAGCGTCTATACGAGCGATGATATCGGGGTGGAGTTGAAAGGCGTCAGTTGAAGTTGAAAGGGGTCGAGGGCGGGGATTGAAAGCGAGGGACCCTGGGCGGAGAGAGACGACGGGAAAAGTCCTTAAGAAACGGCGTTCACCACGCCAACGGGGTCGCATGGGGACCAGTGTGAGATAGAACGCGCCTGCCTCGCCGGCGGCGCCCTCGCCAAAATCTTCCGAATCTGCGGCTCGAACCCCATGTCGAGCATCCTGTCCGCCTCGTCCAACACGACGTACGTCGCGCTGCCGAGGTTCACGGCGCCGGACTCGAGGAAGTCGTTCAGACGGCCCGGCGTCGCGATGGCGATCTGCGGCCCCGATCGCAGCTCTCGTAGCTGCATCCCTTTCGGCGCGCCGCCGTAGAGGCACACGGAGAACATCCCGATCGCCCTCCCGAACTTCGCGGTCTCCTCCTGGATCTGCGTCGCGAGCTCGCGCGTCGGCGCGAGGACGGCGACGGTCGGACCGACCGGCCTGGGCCCGTTGGCGCGCGCTCGGATGTGCATGATGCCCTGCGTGGGTGAAGCGATCGGTCAGTCGAACGTCTTACCGGTCAAACGTTGAAAGGGAAGCGCGGGTGAAGAGTGACGACGGGAAAAGTCCTTAAGGAACGGCGTGCACCACGCGAACGGGGTCGTATGGGAAGCAGTCTCACCGGGAAAAGGTAGCCCACGGTTTTCCCCGACCCCGTCTTCGCGACGGAGATGAGGTCGTACCCTTGCAGCGCGATCGGCCACGACTGCGCTTGGATCGGCGTCGGGCTCGTGTACCCGGCGCGCGTGACCGCGTCCAGGAGCTGCTGCGGCCAGCCGCCCTCCGCGAACGTCTGCTGGGGGTCGGGGGTTTGGATCCCCCTCGGCGCCTTCACGGTGATCTCCATCTTCCGACGGTAATCCTCCCCGCTCTGCGTCGAGCCGTACTTGACGTCCGTGTTTATCTCGAGCCCGCCCGCGCGCTGGTACGCGTCCGGCGGCGGCGCGTTGTAATCCAGCGCCCCGAACGAGTCGTCCGCGCCCGTGTTCTGAACCGCGGACGCGCCTCCGAGGTAGGAGTAATCGTTCGCGGGCTTGGAGGGCGCCATGCCCGCGACCGGGCGGTCGTACGTAGTCGCGTTCGTCTCCGTGTTCCAGAAGTACGTCAGGCCTTCCGCGTGGACTTCCTGCCACGGCGGCGGGAGCCCCGCGCTGCTGCACGTGCCTTGCACCATCGCCGCGACGACGAGATCTGAGAAGGATTACTTCTTAATTCCTCTCCCTACTAATCGGCCGACGAACGAAGAGTCGGCGGCGCGCGATCCGCGAGCGGCGATCGGCGCGAGGGAGGCGCCTTCGACGGACGCGCTCGAGACGTTCGCTTCGCGCGCGATGCGGCGAGGGCGGGTCGGTGGTGCGGTGTTGAAAGCGACGTGCGGAGAGGTCGGGCGCGTCGCGATCGCGTGTGCGCGCGCGATCGGCGGCGTCGGCGAACTTGTGGCGCGAAATAAACGTCGACGGGCGTTCTCCGAGCGTCCGATCAACGTTCGTTTCATAGGGCTACGTGTACGTGTACGGACGAGCGCACCAATGAAAGTCGAAGAATTGACCCGTCAGCCGAATAACGATGCTGATGCGAGGAGGTATGATGGGGAGGGTGCTCGCGCCGCGCACTTCCGGGCGCGCGCGCGCGCACGACCGTCGGTCGTTCATCGCCCGCGCGACGACGACGACGACGATGGCGTCGTCGTTCGCGCACCGAGCGTGCGGCGTGGCGACCGCGTCCGCGGCGCCGCTCGGCGTCGCGCTCGTCGCGCTCGAGAGCCTCGCCGCCTCCCGGGAGATTTACGCCGAGGTGGTCTCGACGTTCCCGTTCGCCGGGTTCGCCGCGAGCGCCGTCGCGCGCGCGCCGTCGCGCGCCCACTCGCCGCCGCCGTTAGCGTCGTCCGCGTCGTCCGCGTCGTCGACGCTCGAGTCGATCGTCGCGAGCGTCCTCCGCGCGACGCTCCCGTCGACGGCGTGCGACGCGGTCGACGCCGACGCCGACGCCGACGCCGACGCCGACGCCGCGACGACGACGCGCGCGCTCGAGCCGCCGAAGATCGTCGGGCGACTCGTGCTCGACGCGGTCACCGGGAAGACGTACGACGTGGAGATCAAGACGTTCGCGTCCGTGTTCTCCCCGCTCGCGCTGCTCGCGCGCGTCGGGCTGAACGCCTTCAGGCGCGTTCTATACACTGGTTCCCATACGACCGCGTCGGCGTGGTGAACGCCGTTCCTTAAGGACTTTGCCCGGCGCATCTCTCCGCCCAGGGTCCCTCGCTTTCAATCCCCGCCCTCGGCGCCTTTCAACTCCGCTTCTGACGCCTTTCAACTCCACCCCGACATTCGCTCGTATGGAACGACCTTCAGAAACTACGCGAGCGTCGTGACGAAATTCATCGAGGAGCTCGCGGCTCGAGAGGAGGAGCTCGAGCGGACGGGAGGGGTCACGGACAAGCCCGAGCCGGAGATGGAGGTGCGCGGAGGGAGTTAAACGACGCGTCGGTCGCGAATCTATCATGCTTCTTCCTTCCCGCGTTCGTTTCCTCGCGCGCTCGCGCCCGCCGCTCGCTCGCCGGTCGCGCCGACGGCCGGAGACCCTTTCCTCCCTCCCTTCTCATCCGTCCCCCCCCCCCTCCCTCCCGCGCCGCGCGCAGTGGGAAGAGCCGACGAAGCGCGCGATGGGCGGGATCATGCGCGAGACGATCGTGATGCTCACTCGAAGGGCGATCGAGCGCGTCGTCGCGCGCGCGTTCCCCGCGCGTATCGCGCGGAAGATGGTCAAGAGCGTCCCGAACAGCGCGGCGCGGAAGTGCCTCAGGCGCGTTCTGATTTGATTCACACTGGTCCCCATACGACCACGTTCGCGTGGTGAACGCCGATCCTTAAGGACTTTCTCTCCCGGCGGGCGTTTCTCTCCGCCCGCCACCCCTCGGTTTCGACGCTCGACCGCGACGCCTCACGACGCCGATCCGACGCCGACGCTCTTCAGGCCCGGGTGGGCGCGCGACGCGTGGCGGTTTCAGGCGCGTTCTTTACACTGGTCCCCATACGACCCCGTCGGCGTGGTGAACGCCGTTTCTTAAGGACTTTCTCTCCCGGCGCATCTCTCCGCCCACACCTCGCTTTCAATCCCCGACATACCTCGGCGCCTTTCAACTCCACCTGACGCCTTTCAACTCCACCCCGACATCGCTTTGTATGGAACGACCCTCAGAGCGCGACGCTCTCTCGCGTGCCGGTGCTCCGTCGAAAATGGGGCGGCTTCCGGACCTCCGCGGCGATGGCGAGAACGTACGCGCGCGCGAGCGTCGTCAACGTCGCGGGCGATCTCGTCGTCTCTCTCGCGTTCACGACGCTCGCGGTGCGGAGCATGTCCGCGATGCGCGCGGAGGCGCGTCGCGTCGTCGCGGAGGAGCGAAGAAGAGACGCGGTCGCGGCGGCGGCGGCGGCGGAGGTGAGACTGCTTCCCATACGACCCCGTTCGCGTGGTGCACGCCGTTCCTTAAGGACTTTATCCGTCGTCACTCTTCACCCGCGCTTCCCTTTCAACGTTTGACCGGTAAGACGTTCGACTGACCGATCGCTTCACCCACGCAGGCGCGCGCGGATGGAAAAGACGCGCCGCCGGAATCGGACCCGCCGTCGCTTCCCGCGATCGGACCGGAGATGCTCCGGACGTACGCGAAGCTCGTGGCCGGGCACGTCGTCCGCGGCGCCGCGATTCTCGCCGGCGGCGCCGTCGGCTGCGGCGCCGCGTCGGCGTGGCGGTTCGACGGCGGGGAGGCGGCGGAGGCGCGTCCCGGTCACACTGGTCCCCATACGATCGCGTCGGCGCGGTGAACGCCGTTCCTTGAGGACTTTTCTTCCCGGCGTTCGTCTCTCTCCGCCCACACCTCGCTTTCAATCCCCGACACGCCGCGACGCCTTTCAACTCCAACTGACGCCTTTGAACTCCACCCCGACATCGCTTCGCGTGGACCCTCGACCCTAAGACGCGGTGGACGCGACGGTTCGTGACGCTGGGGTGCGCGGTCGGGGAGCTGTGCGGGTCTGTGCTCGCGGAGATGCTCTTGTGATGGTTCCGGGGGGGGGTAGGTTATTATTGATTCGATTCTATTCGATTCTATTCGATTCTATTCGATTCGCGCGCCGTCGCGCGATGGGTCCGACGCGTCCTCTCGGAAGCGGCGACGCTTCCGCGCGCACTTTTCCTAGCCTCGAATCTCTGCTCGGATTATCGGATATCGGAGCACTCGAAAGGTGCGCTCGGAGCACTCGAAAGGTGCGTTCGGAGCACTCGACGGGCGCGCGCCGTGCCGCCTCCGCACTCTCTCTCGCGCGCGCCGCGTCCGTCTCGCTCCCGACCTCGACCTCGACCTCGACCTCCGACGCCGCGCCTTCGCCATGGCGCGTCTCCGTCTTCGGGGCGTCGTCCTCGCCGCCGCGCTCGTCGTCCTCGTCGCCGCGGCGTCGCCCGCGCTCGCGCAGGACGGCGACCCCGCGGGACGAGGCCTCTTCGGGAATCGCCGCGGGCGCCCGCCGAAGAAGCACGGCGGCGACGCGCACGAGGACGAGAGCTGCGTCCTCCCCGGACCGTCGACGCCGTGCGTCCCGGGTCCCGTCGGCGACGCGCTCTGCGCGTCCGCGCACCCGTGCTTCCGCGCGACGTGCGAGAGGGACAAGAAGGTGCGTTCTATGTTGCAACTTACAAGGTACAAACGTTTTTCACCCACCGCTCGGTTTCAACATTTGATCGTAACTTACCGTATTGCCTTTCAACTGACCGGTGCTCTTTTTGTGTGATGAAACGACCCTTCCCACAGACGAAAGATAAAAACGCCGGGACGTGCGCGTGCTCCGGAAAGAAGGACCCCGAGTCGAAATGCATCCCCGCGATCGACGACGGAAACGACTGCACCGGCCCGCTCGGTCGGTGCGACGCCGCCGGCGTCTGCGTGGAGGACGCGAAAGAGCGCGGCTGCGCGTGCGCGCCCGACGATCCCGCCTACGACCCGGACGCGTCCGGGGGGAGCGTATCGTGCGGCGGCTCTCCGCCCGTCGACGTCAACTGCCTCGCGGACAAATACCAACCGTGCAAGTGCGACGGCGACACGGCGTCGCCGAAGTGCGCGCCGAACACGCGCGAGGAAGGCTGCCCGTGCGCGGGAGAGAACGCGTGCGGCGCGGATCTGAGCGACCCGTGCGTCGATCCGAACGCGCCGTGCGTCTGCGACGGCGCCGGTAACTGCGACGTCAACTACCTGCCCGACGACGCCGCGTGCGCGTTGCCCGACGGCGACGTCGCGAAGTACTTCGTCGCCGCCGCCGCGGGCCGCGGCGTCGCCGTCGACGCCGCGTGCACGTCCGAGAGCTCCGGACTCGGCGTGTGCCGGACGATGGACGGCGACGCGTATCCGACGTGCGCGCCGGTGTTCTTACCAGACGACACGCCGTGCGTTCCCGACGACGGCTCCGCGAGCCAGTGCGTCGAGCACAAGTGCGTCTTCGCGACGGGCGTCTGCGAGTCTTTCCCCGACCCGGGTGCGAAGTGCGACCCCCCTGATAAGGGCGTGGCGTGTTTCTCGGACGAGTACGGAACCTGCGACGCGGAGACTCCGGGTCTGTGCGTCAACGACTTCGATCCGAAGAATTGTCCGTGCGAACCCGGGAACGGCTGCACCCCGCCGGAGGGCAACGCGTGCGTAGATCCGAACACGCCGTGCGTCTGCGACGGCGCCGGTAACTGCGACGTCAACTATCTGCCCCCGCAGACGGAATGCGAGCTGCCAGAAGTATCGCTCGGAAAGGTCGCGGCCGGCCGCGGAGCGACCGGCGGTCGCGCGCCCGCGGGCGGGGACGCGTCGTGCAAGGCGACGTTCGGAACGTGCCAGTACGAAAACGGCAACGACGGCCCGACCGCCTGCTCCGGGGATGCTTATAAGCCGGAGAACACGCCGTGCGTTCCCGACTCTGGGGAGGTGCCGTGCAAATCCTTCACGTGCGACGCCGGCGGAAACTGCGACGTGGGCGTCGACGTCCCGGGGGAATGCGAGACGGACGGAACATTTTCTCCTTGCAAATCTGGAACGTCGGGGACGTGCGAAGCCGGCACCTGCGTCCCCGACGACGACCCGCTCAACTGCCCGTGCAAGCTCGCCCCCCTGGCCGAAGATAGGTTCGCGCCTTGCGGCGCCGCGGGCAGCGCGAACACGTGCATCGACAAGGACGTGCCGTGCGTGTGCGACGGGCTCGGCAAGTGCGAAAAAAACTTCCTCCCGCTCGGCACGATTTGCGATAGCGACTCCCTCGGGCCGTGCCAGATCGCGAAGTGCGCCGCGGCCACGGGTACCCTCGGCGGCGACGGCGTCGTTTGCTCGACGGTGGCCGTGCCCAACGACGACGCGTGCTTCGCCAACAACGGAGAGCCTAACTGTCTCAACGCTGGTTTTTGTTCCAACGGCGCGTGCAACGACTTGCAATGCAACGAGCCGGGCGGAGGCGCCTGCGAAGATAAAAGTCCAGGCGACGCGTGCGATTCTGATGACTCCGGTGATGAAGATGGCACGTGCTGCCCCACGGGCCCTGAACCATCTCCCTCTCTCGTGTGCAACCCCGCCGTTACACCACCCCAAGGTACTTGCCCTTGCTTCGCGCTCGACGACACGTGCGTGTTTGACGGCAATTGGCCCGGAAAATGTTGCGGCCTCGTCGGGGGAGACTTCGAGTGCAAAGACCAGTGTCCCGACCCTGGTAATTGCGCCGAGACCGGCGACAGCGACGATTGCGCCGACGGTTACGTCTGCTGCGTCACCGATTACAACTCTCCGCCGCAGTGCGTCGCGTGTCTCGATCCGTCGTGTAACTCTCTGCCGGACGGCGATTGCCTCGCGTTCACGTGCCGCACCAACTACCAAGACGCCGGTTCGTCGTGCCCGAACAAGTTCGGCGTGTGCAGCGGTCAATCCGGCGAGGAGTGCGAGTATCTCTGCAACGAGAGCTGCATCGACGGCTTCGTGAGCGGCGGAAGTCCCTGCGGCTCCCCGAACTCAAACTCTTGCTGCCAAGCCGACAACGCCGTGTGCACGAACGTCGGCGGGAACAACTGGTGCGTTCTATACAAACGTTTTTCACCCACCGCTCGGTTTCAACATTTGATCGCTCCCCCTTTCAACTGACCGGTGAACTGGTTCTGGCCCTCAGCCCCCCCGGCACGGGCTCGTGCGGCACGTGCAGCAAATCGAGCAACAAGGACGCATGCAACGTGCCGTCGTCGCTATCATCGTTCGCACAGATCCTCACGAGCGGCCGGAACGCGGTCGCGAACCCGGTCGCCGCCGCGCGAGGGCGGCCGCTCCCGACGGCGACGAGGCCGCGCGGCGCGTCGGTGAGACTGCTTCCCATACGACCCCGTTCGCGTGGTGAACGCCGTTTCTTAAGGACTTTCCGCGCCGGTTTCAACGCTCGCTCGACCCGACCCGACCCACCCTGCGCCGCGGTTCAACTGACCGGACGTCCCCTGTCGAATCTATCGAACGACAGGCCTCGTCGCCGGGAGCCGCCGCCGAACGACGCGGCGCGACGACCGCGTGGCGCCCGTCCGGTCGCGCGCTCTGAGTCGCGCGCATGGTTTGGTTTGGTTTGATTGGATTCACTGTCTCGACCTCTAGCTAGAAAGCCGCTCTTCGAGCCGCTCTGATGACCTTTACCGTGCTGTAGACGGCCACTCGTTCGAGCCGCCCTCTCCGTTTGCAAAAAAAAATGCTTTGAAGTACAACTGAAAACTCCAGTCTCAACCCTTCCATCCCTCTCATCGTTCACTCGTCCCCGCGCCGCTCGCGTCCCCGCGCGCGATGATGCTCGCGTCGGCGACGAGTCGCGCTCTCTCCGCGCTCGCGGCGTCGCGGCCGGCGGCGGCGCGCGCCAGCCCCCCCCGCGCGTCGGTCGCGTCGCGCGGTCGCGCGACGGCTGGGATCTTCGTCGTCGTCGCGTCGTCGTCGTCGAAAACGTCGTCGTCGTCGTCGTCGTCGCGGTCGTTCCCCGGCGCGCGGACGCGACGCCGGTGGAACCGGCTCGAAACCGCACTCTCTCGCGCGTCCGGCGACGCGAACGGCGGCGGCGGCGACGACGACGAGGCGCGCGCGTCGTCGTCGTCGTCGTCGTCGTCGTCGTCGTCATCGTCCTCGTCGTCGTCGTCCACGTGGTCCACCGCGGCGGCTGCCGTCGTCGACGCGAGGTGGTTCAACACTTACCTCCACGGCGCCATCTTCGTCCTGATACTCGGGTTCGTCGACGCCGGGTACAGCCGCGACTGGACGCGAATCGGCGCGATCGGCCCGGAGTTGGAGCAGCGGCTGAGGTGCGTCCTATCTCACGCTGGTCCCCGTACGACCGCCTCGGCGCGGTGCACGCCGTTTCTTAAGGACTTTCTCTCCCGGCGTTTGTCTCCGCCCAGGGTCCCTCGCTTTCAATCCCGACACACCTCGACGCCTGTCAACTGACGCCTTTCAACTCCACCTCGACGTCGCTTCGTACGGAACGACCCCGAGGGACTGGGCGCTGTGGCTCGGCGGCGCGCACGTCGTCGCCGCGGCGGCCGCGGGCGCGGTGGCGAAGAGACGCGGGTTGTCCGTGCCGTTTCACGCCGCGAAGACGTTCGCGGTCGGGTTCCTCGCGCTCGTGGAGACGTGTTTCAAGACCGCACCGCCGGTAGAGGGGGAGGGGGAGGCGTAGGAGCGGAGGGGGGGCGGGGCGAACGCGCAGATTCGAAGGTCGTCGCGAGCTGTCGAGTGGCTCCGCCGCCGCGACTCGTCGCGCCTTTTCTCGCTTTTTCCGGCGTGTAGATCGTCCTGTTAGGTCTCGTTCAGGGACGGAATTCCGTCCCTTTCCGGCGAAAAAACTGAGAATTTTCCCTATGGGCAATTGGTCACAAGTGCCGAATTTCCGCCGTTTTCGACGGAAAATCGGCG